AGAGAGAGAGAGAGAGAGAGAGAGAGAGAGAGAGAGAGAGAGAGAGAGAGAGAGAGAGAGAGAGAGAGAGAGAGAGAGAGCGGAGACGGATCGGGATGGTGTCTTTTCCTTTTGTTTCTTCTTCGTCCAACCTTCCTGTATAAATTTGGATTTCCGCCTTGGCCAATTTTGTTGCCGCAACTTCGGATTTTTCGTTGCGAATTATTTTCGCATTTCAGTGTGCGTCGTCATTTGTTTCTCACTCTATCAATCCTGCATGGTTGACAGTCCGATGAATGCTTGTACTTTCTCCGAATTCCTCGCTCTCTGTCTGCGACGTGATTGCACTTTTTTTCAACTTCTTGCAAGATCGGTGGTTTTTGTTTGAGTGCATGTCGTCTCTCCTTTCGATCTAAGTCTCACCATCGCTAAACATGAATGAGTCTGAGGGGAGTTTCGTTGTTTTGATGAATGCATAATGGTAGAACATATACGTGTATGCCAAGGCCGCGATTGTACGGATCCGTGATTGGTTGATCGCAATTGACTATTCCGGAGGGACTTGCGCCCTAGGAAGAAGGAGGACAGTGATGATGGGTATCCGAAAGTGACGAAATTTGAATTAAGCTAACCCATATCGCGTCTTCTGATCGACCATCGCTTGTGGAACTAACCCCTCACATAGTCGTGAACAGATCCTGTGCACGCACGTGTAAGCCCGACCAAACAGGGACGGTGCCTACATGCTTGTCTGCAGGACCTGCGCGCGGGCCATGACGACGTTTTTCGTCGGAATAACAGGATGATTTGCATTACAGACCAAAAAAGTTTGCGGGATCCCGAATATCGGAAATATTGGGAACGAAAGAACGCGTACTTCCTCGCTCAGCCCCGCCCCGATCCTCCGAGATTCCCCTACCAACGAGGAGACGAACACATGTGCGACTGGGATATAGGAAGGGCATTGGACACCGTTCCTCACACAGCCCAATTTCCCGAGTCCCACACGAGCCACGTCTTCTCAGAGCCGGGGGTCGTCGTCCTAATAACTCACTGCCCACCGTACCGAGTGGTGCTGGCCTTCCATTACCTCACCGTCATCCCGTGGCACGCCATCGCTCCCTATTGGCCTCGAACCCCTTGTTGTGAGTGCCAGCAAGACAGCCAGTACTGAGCCTCGGGGTTCGTTCGCCGAACCCGAACGGAGCCTGAACGACAGGCACGCAACCTCCAGCTGAGACCCTCGTCGTCTGATTCCGAAGTTTGTAGCGATCGGCGACAGCAGTTGATCAGACAGACTGAGTGCGATACGCATAGAGTGCACCTTGTCCATCAGGTCCGCGACCGACCTCAAAGGCGAAGCCAAAGGAGATGGTAATTCCCATCACTCGGGCCTAAGGCATATGAAACATGCCTGAGATCGACGACAGGGGACTCTGTTCGAGAATGCAAGAGCGTCTAGATCTGTTAACGACGTAATTACGTCAGATTCTTATCCCTGGGATACACTGTGCATGCCATCTGCCTTGCTCTGCACGGCATCTACGGTTTCCATTTCTTCGCGCCATGTCTGAGAGGTGGTCTATTTGTTCACGGAACCAGGAACGCCGCACACGGCCCGCACTCGCCCTTTTGCACTGTTAACCCCGAAGCTTGCCACAGGAGATCCCAGTTCTGTCCCGGAGTCCACCCCCACTTTCCTAAAATCCTAGGCACACCCCCTTTTTCGCACTTCCAGGGCCCCATCCCACTCCGATCAGGAAGTCGCGCTGGGCGTGAGGTTGGGCGTCACAGCGGCCCTTACCTGTACCTACTGCATATACTAGACGCCACCCAGTGACTCGACTCGACCCCCCCAGTCTGATAGTTGTGTAGTTCGCAATCTATGTGTATACCCGAAGGCTATGTATGCTCCATGCATCTATGTATCAAGATGTACAGACAGCACCATGTGTGGAAACTTGTGTATGCAGCCCGTAGACCATGTATAATTCACAAGCTATGCATATGCCCGAAGGCTGTGTGTGCTCTGTGAATCAATGTATCCACAGATGCATAGGCAGCATCGTGTGTATATATCGAAGAGAGAACGGGGTAAGCTGGACAAGGACCCCCCCAAGGTCCGAACCAAGCTCGAACCCGTGCCCTTGTAACATGTAATCGAATGACTCTACCATGTGAACGACTAGCGGAAATGGCATGAACGTGTGATATGCCAGACTGGGGAGATGAACAGAACACCCAAGACCAACACCCCCAAGCAACCCATGTGAATGTGAAACCCAGAACCAACATACAACACCATGAACAACCCTTGGGTGGTGCGCAGGCAGTGTTTGTAACAGTACCATGTATGTCCAGCCCGGACCAGCCGCGCGCCAATCTAACGCCCCCCCGATGTCCATGCGCAAGGTTGCAATTGAGTTCCGAACCCGCAACCTCATATACCACAATGCGCATTTCCAACCGGTGCTCTAACCACTGAGCCACATCAACTGGACAGACAAAGCAGTGTTGTAGTCATGTCCTGAGTTTGAAAATGTCCAAGTTTAGGAGGGCTGGCTTGAAACTGTGCCAGTCATCAGCCGCTGTAGAGAATGCAGTTTTAGGGTTCCGTTTTTTGGCCATTTTTGTGGAAACAACTGCTAAATTTGCCCATTCCTAACATGGGGTGTGACTTGACTTGAAAGTACACGACGTTCTGAAAATGCCCTACCCTCTCGATGTATCTGGACTCACCTAAGTCCAGATACTTCCCGAGGATACGGCGTTCTGGATGTACTAGTATCTGGACTTCGGCTGAGTCCAGATACATCGGGAGGGTTGGACGTTTTTTTTTTTCAGAACGCCATACCCAAAATTTCATCAAATTTTGCCCCCATTTTGGATTTTCAAATTCGTTCAAAAAATAACTGTTAAATGCCCATTTTTTTTTCTTTTTTTTTTTTTCTTTTTCTTTATGTGTGTCGTCCTTGCGCAGGGGCCATGCTAATCTTCTCTGTATCGTTCCAATTTTAACGAATGTCCCGAAGGACGATTAAATGCCCTTTTCAGCTCTGCGGGGTTAGCTTTTTTTTTTCCTTTCTTTCTTTTTTTTTTTTTTTTTTTGGGCTGAAAAATACGGGTGTTAACCGCTTTGTGGTCTACTTGGCAGAACTGACAAAAGAGAGAATCCACACTTGACCCAGTCCTGCAACTTTTGAACCAAATTTGTCACCAATCCATAAAGTGGGGAAAAAAAAAAAAAAAAAAAAAAAAAAGTGGAAAACAAATAAACCAAAAGGG